ATGTGCCAAGTGCAACCTGAATCTATAATCCACTCTTTCCTCGAGTCGCCACTTGAAACCACAAGAACATCAGATGAGTCGAAGTCATCTTGAACAATGGCTGCATTGCCATTACCTCCATGATCTTTCAGGCGTTCAGGGCACACCTTTCTTATGTGACCCTCCTTCTTATAGTGATAACATCGAATACTAGATGTTTCGCCACTATAAGACTTCTGTTGACTTTTACCTTTCTTCTTGTCGAACTTACCATCCTTTCGCAAGAATTTTCCCTTAACGGCCAAACCTTCGCCCACCGTCGAAGGTTTATGCTCCTTTTGTTCGTTCAAGTCCTTAGAATACAAGGCTGATTGAACTTCTTCAAAGGTCAGGGACTCCCTTCTATACAAGAGAGTTTCTTTGAAGTGAGCATGTGTTCTGGGCAAAGCACACAACAACAACAGTGCTTGATCTTCATCATCGATCTTCACATCAATATTTTCAAGATCAAGAATCAGCTTGTTGAACATATCCAACTGCTCAGCCAACACTTTGTCTTCACTCATCTTGAATGAATATAAAGCTTGCTTCAGGTAGAGTCGATTCACCAGAGATTTGGTCATGTACAAACTTTCAAGTTTCACCCATAATCCCGATGCTGTAGTCTCCTTTGATACCTATCGAAGAACCTTATCACCAAGGCTCAACAATATTGCGCTGTGGGCTTTCTCGATCATGCCCGTCTTTTCTTTTGCCGTTAACGCAGCGTCCATGGCTGCCTCACCCTTCAACGCTTCCAAACAATCCTGCTGAACCAATAGAGCTTTCATCTTCAAGCGCCACAGACCGAAGTCGTTCACTCCGGTGAACTTTTCAATCTCATACTTTGTTGAAGGCATCTTCTCCACGCTCACCGCACCAATTTGTTGTGAATTAGATACCTTTAAACAAAGTATAAACGGTTTCTTAATAATCAAGAAACTCACAAGGGTTAGGGTTAACAAAGAAGACAAGGTAAAATAACAAGGAACAACAAGGATTGGCTATTAAACTGCTATTCTTTCCTTTCTCTTAGAACAAGATTACAAGTATACAAGAATAACAAAATAACCTCTCTCCCTTGAAATTAGGATTTTATCTTCCTATTTTTCCTTATACCAAGATTGAGAAATTAGCATCCTATTTATAATAAAATAGCACACTAACCTAATGGGCTTTTTAACAATTACCCATTACAAGCCAACTTAGGGTACAAGCTAACTTAAACAATTGGGCTTACAAGCAAGGCCCAATTCAACATGCTAACAACCCTAGCAATATTGACTAATGCATGTTAGAACAAACTTCGACTACAACACACATTACTTGCAAACAGACTTCGACAATACTAGAGTTCGATCCAACATCTCATAATTTCTTGTGTGTCATGTTTTTTAAAGAATGATTATGATGAAAGTGATGATCAGATTCTGGATTTGAGAGCTCCGACTTCTACCCGCAAGTTTGAATATGGTTTTGTAACTAGTTCGATTAATATTCATGCTAAACAGTCGCTCAATCCAATGCCACAAAAGTAAATTGTACTTGTATCCATAAATAAGTGGTACGTAATTTTCACATCATGATTGCAAAGAGAGCTCCTCAAAAACATATGCATTCCTCTTTTAATTAAGAGGTCTTATGTTGAAATAACATTATAGATTAGTTTCCAAGTCACTAATGACGTAAGGATGCCAAATAAATTTTATCCAAGAAGGCTTAATGTGACCCCTCTTGATACAATTGTAGGCATCTTTAAAAGATAGATCACTACTTATAGATCCTGTTCAAATTAGTTTATCAGCAAAAATATCATTAATTGACAAGTTAATCTTCAAAATGTCTTCAATAATTTAAAGAATCGAAATGGATAGGCCATGAGGAATATTCCAATTGATGTTTTGGAAAATTGGATTGACCTTAGCAATTTGTATAAATTGAATATCTATTGATAATAATTGGTGTAAATCTTTAATTTTGCATCCCAATCAATTCTCAATCCATAAATCAATGTTCGTCTCATTACAAACTTGTCATGTATTATGTTCCTCCAGAAAGAAAAAAAGAATGATTGTTTTTTTTATTATGCATGAAGTATCTAGTAATAAGCATAGAAGACCATTGATTATTGATAGTCAGCAACTTCCAACAAAAAGATAAACAACTAGCTTAGTTTATTGTCTTAATATCTCTCAGGCTAATACCTCCTTTAGACGAAGGTGAGCAATTAACCTTCCAATATGTAGTAATTAACTTTCTACTGTCTATGCTACTTGTCTACACAATTTCTAATGCAAGAATCTAGCTTATTCAAGAGATTGATTGGTCATTCATAAATCTTAAAATTATATAGAAGCATGTCGTGTATGATTGAATAAACCAATTGAACCCTGTTCGTCACTGAAAGAAGGTGTCTCTTCCAAGTAGCTATCTTGGTCAATACTCTATCTACTATGAATTGAATATGATGAGTTATATGTTTGCCTTTGAATATAGGAACTCCAAGATAGTTAAATGGTGTTTGTCCCACAGTAAATTCATCCATATTTGTAATGTGCCTCAACCTAGATCCAAAAGTACATTTATCATAAAACTTGCATCTAATTAGACTGGTGTGTTGAGCAGAATTGTGATCATATTCTTGAAGGAGATAGTTAATAACTTGAGCATTTTTTCTATAAAAAAAATAGAACTATAAATGATTATCTTACCAACTAATATGTATGTCAAATTACTATAATCCACCAACATAAATTATTGTCTATTAAGTGTTGCTTTAACAATGCAAAAGAATAAGGAAGATAAAGAATCTTCTGACATCACTCCTGAAGAAAGCAAGAGAAAAATCCTACTGTGATATATTATTTTGTTTGATAAAATATAATAGATAGTAGGTAATAAGCTAACTTATAGCTAGGGCTGGAAATGAGTCGAGCCGAGTCGAACTCACCTCAGCTCGACTCGACTCGTTAAGAATTGTTCGAGTTCGAGTTCGACACGAACTTTTTTTTAAGCTCAAACTCGACTCATTATAAGTTCACGAACAGTTCGGTTCAACTCGTTAGGTTCATCTCATTAGGTTCAACTCACATGATTCACGGACTTAAAAACTATTTTTTTTAAATATATATATATATATATATATATATATATATATATATATATATATATATATATATATATATATATATATATATATATATATATATATATATATATATATATATATATATATATATATATATATATTATATTTGACATTTTAAATAAATATATTTTTTTAAAATAAAATAAAAGTTATCCTATTGAAATTTAACTTTATCTTCGAAATCTACTAATTCAAAACCTACACAACTTTCAAGAGATACATTTGAGAGTCTAATTCAAAAACTACTAAATTGAAGATTAAATTTGTCTAAGATTTGGAGTAAATATTTAAATCTAATCTCAAAGACAGTATAATTCTTCTCATATGTAATCGAGTTGACTCATGAACCTAACGAGTCGAACTATGTATAATTCAAGTTCAGCTCATTTAGTTAACGAACTTAATTTTTCGCTCATACTCAACTCATTTGATTCATGAACCTAGTTCAACGATTTAATTGTCGAATCAAATTCCGAACTATTTTCGAGTTAGTTCGGTTCATTGTCAGCCCTACTTATAGCAATTAAGTTTTAGTTGATATCTTATAAACGAGTTGATGCGTAATAACAAATAAACTAACTAAATTGAGATTACAGTGTTTAGTAACATTAGTGATTATATTAATTTATCAATAATATAATGATATAAATAAGATATATTTAACTATTTATTTGTTTAGGACAACAAGAGTAAAATTGAAAGAAAACATTATGAACTATAAGCTTTAAGATATAACTACTTAAATTAACTTATAAAAAAAAATATAAATCAGTAAAAATAAACTAAATGGAAAAGAGATTTATTGGATTGTTTAGATATTTTACCATAGAATAAAATATGATTCTCATTCCAACCAAATTAGGAAAAAAAATATATTATAGTAAGTAATTAAATTAAATGAATAGATATCTTTATTCTACTCCATCCGATTTAAATCAATCCAAAAGATTAATATATATATATATATATATATATATATATATATATATATATATATATATTAAGTAATTAAATTAAATTAAATGAATAGATATCATTATTCTACTCCATCCGATTTAAATCAATCCAAAAGATTAGAAGAAAAAAAATTATAGTAAGTAATTAAATTAAATGAAATAGATATCAATATTCTACTCCATCCGATTTTAATCAATCCAAAAGATGAAATTTTATTTTTTCCCATAACACTCCGATCCATTTCAATCGATTATCCTAAACCACATCCGATTTTAATCAATCCAAAAGATGAAATTTTATTTTTTTCCATAACACTCCGATCCATTTCAATCGATTATCCTAAACCAAACCGTTGAGTGAAATATATATATATATATATATATATATATATATATATATATATATATATATATATATATATATATATATATATATATATATATATATATATATATATATATATATATATATATATATATATATATATATATCTTATTATTGTGGGATCTATTCTTAAAATAGTAAAACTTACATGAATTTCAACCAATAATGTGAGCATTATGAAAAGAAAAGTATTAGCGTGAGACTTGGCAGCACTCCACAAACAAGATTATAGAAGGAACCAACTTTTATTTGAATATAATAAGATTATCAATGACACAGACGATCATTTGGCAACAACTTTGTCACTTGTCATGAAAATGTTAAAACTTCCAAACATTAACTTCCTACATTAACTAGAAACAAGTGTAGTGGAAGCAGACATTAATCTGATAGGTGAAGTGAAAAAAGCATTGCCCAACTGGAACGGCAAATTGGTATACAATAAGAATCAAAGGATCAGTTAAAACGTCATTTCTCACCTAGTTTACCAATTCTATGCAAGATACTTATATAGTTTTCTGTCACTATTATCTCTCTCCAAAAATTCCCGCTCAATAAGAGACTCAATCCGTTTCTTCACATCAGTTAGATTTGGAAGGAATCGCGACTGTAACAGCTTTGTGACCTCAGCTATAAGATTGTTATGATCAAGTTGCTTCCTAGCTTTCATAATCCTTACTATTGCCGAGTCAATTTGCAACTTCCGGTCCTCTTGTACTTTTTGTCGAGTTTCCAGATTCTCTGGTTCCGATTCCTTTGTTGCAACTACAGTTCCTATTTTTACCTTATACAGTTTGCTACTGAAGTTGTCATTAAAAAAGAATGCATCATCCTCACTGACATCTTTAGTCATAGGCTCCTTCCTAAGGACATTTCTTCCCTTGACCAAAGCCAGAGATTGCAGACACCTCTTCAAATCTGAAGCTGGAATCTCAGTTGCCTGCTCAATTTCCCTATAGCTTAGTCTATCAGCATCGTTAAACAGCATGAGAACACACATTTGATAGGTGGAGACATTTAACTCATGTCTCTGCCCTTTCCCAAAAGTAGCTTTTAAGTCTGCTGTGCCCATATTAGCTTGCCATGTCAATCTCCTGCCATTACGAATGCCGAGGTAATATGACTGAAATTTCTCACAAAGTTCCAATATTTCCACCGGAAGGTTACATGCCACACTAGAAATAGATGGCCAAGACCCTGTTGTTAGAACCTGCACAGTAAGTGTAGGACCATCACCTAACTCAGGGTGGCGAGCATAAAACCCCAGCATTGTGTCTAAAGACGTTTTCATGTCAGTGAACATGCCCTCCAATTTTGCAGTAAATTGGAATCCACATTCTGTCTTGAGCTTAACTATGAAACTTCTCTCGGTATCATTAGAAACTGTTTTTCCAGACAAAAGTCGTTTTGCCAGATGCTGTTTGTAATACTTCTCAAACATATCTTTTTCGTCCAAGTAACGGAATAGGATCATCACTTTGTCAAGAGTAACCTCTATATCACCCTCGCTAACTCCCTTTAGACCCTTTCGAAACTTATCATCTACAAATAGTGAAATGAACTCTGGAGAACGGGGGTTCAAGTTAATGAAAAATTTAAACGATAAATTCAAAGCATCTTGGAACAACTTGTCATTACTAAACGCCAAAACTATAATCTTGTCGTATTTATCTTTCACATCCAAGAGCCTCTGCACAAATTCAACAGGATCCTTCAACCTTTCTGGATCAGTAACAAACTGTTTACCGGACTCTTTCACGTGGGAAGTCATCACTTCAATTATATTCGAGAGACCATCGTTAACACGACGAAACAAGTTATACATTCTTCCCAAATCTTCATATTTATCATCACAGAGCATGTTAACTAAGCCAGAGTTCTCCATGTGGATTAAACTAAGCATGTGATTTTCAATCATCTCCTTCTCCACCACATTAGTAATCTTCTTTTCAGTCTTAGGGTCCAAGTAATGTCTCACTCTATCTATTTCCTCGTCCAGGCCCCTCTCAGCTTTCTTGAGATAATCCCCACAATCACAACACTCAATAAATTTCTGGGATTCAACCCTGTAGAAATCAGCTGAAGCTTGCAGAAAATTAGTTTCAAATTCTTGTCTATAAACAGGACCCAAATTCATTAGCATCATTGTTATATTCCTAATCAGTCCTCTATTAACAACAACCCCAGCACGCTCACTGTATACTAAATCCAAAAGAACATTCAACAGTCGAGTCCTTATCTGGTTTGAATAAATAACATTTTCTCTCCACAGGTTCAGGCCAAGTTCATAAACTCTGGCCTTCCGGGTGCATGCGATATAAGTCCTATCCATGTACATCAGAATGTCTCTAACCATTTCTAATGCCTTATTATGATCAATCCATTTTCTGTTTAGTTCTTCCAGAAAGGAAGTTCCTTGAGTTGCTTCAACAGATCTGGCTATCTCTTTGAGATGAAAAGTCATGGTGGCAACCAACCCAGAGTACAGCTTCTCACCAAATTTGTGAAGAACCATATTGTAAGCATTCCTAAACCCACAAAATAAAGACAATAAAATATTAGATGATAAAATACCCAAAATAAAGAGGATAAAGTACAATATCCATTTGATGTGCACGTGTCAATAGGAACCCTAAAGTTTGAGTTGGTTAGTTAGCTAAACTAGTTTGAGCTAGGGTTGAAGAAGGAGATGGAAGAGTTAAAGGACACAGGTATAAAACCGGGTAAAGGAGAAAAATACTAACACAACACCTAATTACCAACACTTGCCTATCTAAAAAACACCTAAAGTTCTCCTTTTTCTGCTATTGCGGCTACATCAGCTAGCATAAACTGGAATAGCGGACGTATTACCCTAATAGCAAAACTAGGATAATGTGGTGGTTTTCTTAGTGAAATCCTCTATGCTATAGAGCCGCTATCCCCACTATTTGACAACACTAGGTAATATCAGGTAGACATTATTTGTTTACATGACCACATTTACAATTGAAATGTTTATAAGGGGAAAAAAGCATTCCTTACTTGAAATAAATGCTCTCTTTCCAAATAAGATTTCAATTTGGGTCCTTAGCATCAACGTATTTAATATGTAATAAAGAGTCCATTGTTGGGAACTCAAACCTAGGTTATAACCAAGTCACTTGTAATTAATACATTAAATAATGAGGTTATTCAGATGTTAGAAGCATAAAACATTACATGAATCTAATAGATCCCTATACACGTATTTAATACGTAAAAAAGTGTCCATTGCTGGGAAACTCAAACCAAGGTTATAACCTGGTGACTTGTAATTAATACGTGAAATGATGAGATTATTCAGATGCTAGAAGGATAAAACATTACATGAATCTAACAGATCCCTATTTCCTGTTTTGAAGCCTACAGCCTTCGCACAAGGATGGCTTGCTACAAAAGGAATCACTCCAAGCAAGAAAATGGGTGCTTTACATAGTCAAAAATTAACCTTAACATATTATATGTATCGTTAACACTTGATGGCTGGTTTTCAAAAAGATTTAAACCAAGCACGGCATCATATCATAACAACTACATATCCAACACAAAATCTCAGCTTAGCACAGTTCAGCTGAGTGAAGAATACGAAACAAATGAGGACACTCTTGACTAATACAAAAATGTATTGCACTAGTCCAGCAATTAACAAATGCAACATCATAATTCCTGATCCCCAAAAACAATTATATCACTCACCATCGAAGACTCAATAAGCATACCACTAACAATGCCCCTTATAATTCACCCAATCCAGCCCTTAAAAGAAAAAGAGAAAAACGTAGCTTTTGGATATAGAGCTTAATTAAACAGTTAGTCAATAAGCATTCTATCATACAAGAGTTTACATAGAACCTATTTCTTTAATCAAATACCAAACTAGCACAAATTCTACATACTCTGAGAGCAGCTTATGACAATTAGTGAACATTTTATATGAAAAAATGACAATAAGTAAACCAATTTCGTTAATCAAAGATGAAATTAGGGTAAAATCATAATAATCTGAAAGCAGCTTATGGCAATATAAGTGATACTCTTATGTTTTTTTAAATGATAATAAGCGAACCTATTTCTTTAATCAAACGTTCGGGTAAACTTTACATAATCTGAAAGCAGCTTATGACAATAAGTGATTTTTTTTTTCAAAAAATAACAAGTGATGTGGAGGAACTAATCAAACTGTTTTTGTAAGTTCGTCCAAATATTTACGCAAGTAAGTACTTAAGCCATAACATAAGCAAATAAGCTCTTCCAAACATTAGAAAACCCTAAGAATGATAGGATTTGCTTTCATATACACCAATTCAATCATTTCATAAACTCCTAAAGACATTCAACAACAACTACAATACAACTACATACCTTAAAAAACAAGCTAAATAATTGCACAATTATGATCAAAATCAATCATCAATTCATCATAACAACAATAACAGAAAAACAAAGTTTTCTAAGAATCAACAACAGTAAAGAAAAAATCATGAGAAAAAGAACCTGTAAAGCTCTTCAAAACTGAGACTACTAGCATTCTTATTATATATCTCATGAATTGCATGTTCCAGAATCTTCCAAGTGTGCTCAGCATATCTCGGATCCATGATAACTCTGTGCTTGAACGCCTCAATCTGAAAATTCCTCTTCCTCTGGTTACTCATCTAACCTAGATTTCAAAAACCTTCCAATTGAACAGAAATGGTAGCAAGAATTCAGTGAAAAATGGTTCGGAAAATGAATGATCGAGTGGGAAATTTATTGAGATTGGATTGGAAGTTGTGCGAGCAAGAATGAGAAAGTGCGAAACGTTACTTCGTTTTTTGTTTTTGGTTTAACGTTTTGCAGTTGAATGAAGTTCAGCGGGGTTTTATGCTGTGAAATTTTCGGTTTCGTTCAACGGATACAGAGGTAGAAATAGGAAATGGAAATTTTTTAAAAATTTTATGGTATGATATTATTATTTAAATACCTTAATAGAATTTAATTAAAAAATGTATATGGTCAAATATGAAAATATTAATATAATTATATTAAAAAAATATAAAAGGTAAAAAGAAAAAAGAAAAAAAAAAAGAACAACAACTATTCTAGAAGGAGGAAACATACAAAGAATCACTTCAATTGAAAAACAAACCCATAATTCATGGCATGGAATATTCTTCTGGAAATTTATCAATAGAGACTTCTTCTTTGCCTTGCTTAGTACACTTGGAAAGGAATCTACTATATTTTAAAATATCAACAAAATTTAAAGGTGATTGTCATTTCATCAAATTTATTTTCTATCTAAACTTCCATAAGGTTGTTTGGATTATTTTTCAAGTTACCTAAAATGAGATCGTATTCATATTACTATGAATGTTTAAATGATTATATTTGATTTTTTTTCTTTAAATTCACAATTAATAGAATTGATTTTGAGAAGGAAAAGAAAAAGAACAATTATAATTATGTAGAAACAAGATTTTATTTAAACTTCTAATTGTTCAAAGATTTTTGACACATCAAAGTGTTCAAAAGTTAATAAATGTAACTACTAGTATTATCTAAAGAAAGTAGGGGTTTTCACGATCAATAATGAGCTTGAGCTACCTAGAGTTTTTACTCACGTATGGAGTCACTAAATTCTTGCTAGAAACAATAACATAATTATGCAACTTTTAATAACTGTTCAACCACGATTTAAATGGTAGCAAAAAAGAAAATTCCCATTATGAATCTTTTATTTATTCCTTAAATGAGACCTAATGAAACACATTAACAAGAGATTTTATTCTACCACTCCTATGTATTGACTTGGCACATCACATCAGAGTTGTTTATACAGTTATATTCTTACTAAAAAGTTTCGGATTTTTCAAACTACATGCAGTTATTGGAGTTTTCATTGTAGTATTGAATTTTTTTGTAATTTTTCCATTTGTTTGAAGAAATTTTGGATTTTTTTTTTCAAAATATCAAATATTTATGAAATTGCTGGTAAAAAATCATAAAAATTGCGGATGAAATATCGACTTTTTGAAAATTTTGGTGCATATATATAAGTTTTTTTAAAAAAATCTGGTAATCTATAATACATACCGATTTTTTTTATTTTTAAATTCGGATCATATCAAATTTTTCAAAAATTTGATAGACAATGGTGACTTTTAGAAAAGAAAACTATAATTTTTTTGACATTTTTAACAAATTATACTCGATAAAATATATAGATATGTACAAAAAGTGCTACAACATAAAAACAAAATAAATTATGTTGACTTCCTAACTTCTTCTTCCCAATGTCTAATATACTCCACATATATTGATTTCCATGCTCTCGTACCTTCACTATAGTTTTGTCTCCATCGGTTTGTGATGAGAGGCAACGAACATTTGGATTTTCAATTTTACATGAATCCAATGATTGTTGTCAACAAAGTCAACTGCAATAATTTTGTGTCTACTCGAAGTTATGCATTGAGCTATCACTTATGGGAAAAATGTGATGTTAAGGTTCCTAGAAAATAAGACCAGTATGATATTGTACCGAGAATTAATAGGATAATCCATATAAGGAATCGTCATCCACTTCTCACGACCTTGCACACCTAAGTTAGCCACCCGCGACGTACTCCTAATTACCGACACTGTGTCATAGAAGACATTGGAATACATTTGATAATGTTGATAAACTTCGATATCTAACTGCATCTGAAGCAAATGCCAAGACTCTTTGCCCCATAAAAGTAAAGCTGCAATAGCACGAAAGCCACAATTTTCATCTTTAGCCACATCAATAATGTCATAAATATACTAATGTAAGAAAACAGGAAACTAAGACAAGTAAAGATGTTTTTAAGACTAGCTACACGATTGACTCTCAATTGATTTTGTACATGATCTCTTTGTAGTCTGACTTCCCTGCAAGCCCTCAACATACTCTCACTACGAAGGATCACGATGTACATCACTCTCTTGACCCTTTTTACTCTTCATATTTCCCCTCTTTAGCTTGTATTTCAGTGGTGGTGGACACATGAAAGTTGTGGATGAATATGTTAGTTGTCAGGCTTTTTTCTTTATTACCCTCCGACCTACAATTACCCATTATCTTCTTTATTAACCTCATGCTCTTCAATGTATAATTTTTTCTAAAATACATGAATCGATTCTAACAAAAATGGCTTACCTTGTATTTAAAGATCAGCAAGTTCACACGCACAAGGTAACTCATGTGTCTTTCTAATGATACAATCATGTGCATCTTTGTCACAACCAACGAATTTTACCCTTTTCAACTCCTTTCCAACGTGTTGTATATACTGTCTTGAAACGAAGCCATGCAATATAGAGTAAAATAGAGTGTTATACTGATGTTCAATGTTGACAATACTTTTTGAAATGATATTTCAATTTTAACATGATGTTTACTGTAACACCCCAATTTTTAGTAATTATTTATTTAATTAAATTAATTGATTAATTGGGTGATTTTGTGTCTAATTGAATTAAATTGATTTATGTGATTTATTTGAATTAATTGATTTACTTGACATATTTGAATTAGTTGATTTATTGAATTTATATGAAATATTTGATTTATATAAATTATATAATTTTTTGAGTTATTTGGATTAATTGATTTATTAGACATATTTAAAATAATTGATTTAATTTGATTATTTAATTTATTTGATATATTATATTTGATAAAATAATATAGAATTGTTAGACTAATTTATCTATTAGGCCTAATTGGGGGTGTGAATAGAAATGGGTTAGTAAGCCCATTAAAAATTATTAGGTTTTGAGAAATTGTGAGAGTTTTATAAAAACAAGAGAAATGAGATAGAAGAGAAATAGAAAGTTAGTAAAAAGGCAAGAGAGAAAGAGGAGTGGAGAAGAAGAGGAGAACCAAGAGAGTTCAAGAAATTCAAAAAATCAAGGTAAGGGTAGTTTTTTTTTTACTCATTTATTGGGATTGTTTGATAATGATTAATGGGTAGAAATAAAATCTCAATTTTTCTATGAAATTGGAAATTATTAAGTTTTAATATTAAACTTTGAAATAGGTCAATTTTATTATATTTTGGAATTAATATTGGTATAGTATAGAAACTCATTCAATATTGGAATAATCCGTTTGAATTTGATTGATATATATTGTAGTTCCTATAGCAAATCATGATTTTTCTTTTTTTTTCTTTTCCACCCAGTACTGTAGCGATACAAAGAATAATAAAAATGGAAGAGAATACTTCTAGTCATGTCTTGTAATATATATATATATATATATATATATATATATATATATATATATATATATATATATATATATATATATATATATATATATATATATATATATATATATATATATATAACTGCAGAGCATTAATTGACAGTAGACAATGAAACTTGAAATGTTTCCTGCTACTATGCCTTGTAGCTAAACCATCCTTAAGTGTTTTGCTAGTCAAAGCCGTTCTAAAGTACATGCTTAAGTGAGTGATACTTCATGTATTCCATTACTGTAGCAACACAAAACAAGTGGGTAATGAATGTGAACCTGTAGTGAAAGGGTTTTAGTTAGAATTGAAACCTTATTAAATTATTGAATGTTTATTAATATGAAACTTTATTAAATATTAGAACTTATTTAAATGGTGAATATTTATTTAAAATATTAAATACTTATTAAATATTAAAATATTGAAGATTTATTGAATATTTAATATTTATTTAAAATATTGAATTATTTATATAATATTGAATTGTTTATTGAATAATGACTATTTGTTGAGTATTAAATTTTTAATTATTGATGATGATTAATTATTTTATATTTATTTAGTAATGTGTGTTTTGTGAATTGATGTTGAATTGTATTGATACTTGTGGATTACTTGCTAATTGTGGTGATTAGGTTTGAAGTAAAAATGCCATGATTTTTGAAAATGTGTTTGTATGTGCAAATGAGTGGTAATTCAAGTGTGATGAATTATTGAAGATATGTTTGAACATTAAGATTAGGGAATGATCTTAAGAGTATATGATTGTTGTATTTAGTGACTTGTCCCAAACCTAGAGCGGAGTTTGAAAGCTTAGGGAATGGGTTTTTGTGTGTTATTGGTCTAGGGAACGAATCCGGTTTAAATGTAAAAACCGAAAAATAATAACAAGTGTTGATACCACATGGCATGAGTTGCATTGAGTCTCATTGTGTATATGTTGGTGATATGGGATTATGTGTATTTATGTAATTTGTTGAATTGGTGAAATTGTGGATTGTGTGTATATACTTGTGAATAGTATGGTTACTTGAGTGATACTTTGTTGATGAAACTTTGAAGTATGAGAATAATTGTAATTATGTTTGTATGCCTTAAATTAATTATTATCTTATAATTTCAATAATTATGTGAATTCTCACCCTTCTGTTGGAATGATGTTTTATACGACATCGCTCAGGTACCGAGGAGTAGAGTTACTTCTAGCGCGAGGTAGCCGTTGGAGTAGCTTGAGTTGTGTCTTTATTTATGTTTGGTTGAGTCGTGCTCTGATCATGTAACACTGGGATCGTTTCGATTTATGTTTGAGAGATACATTATGTACTCTACTTTAAATTTATTTGAATTTATTTGGAGTATTGACTTTTATGCATAAGTATTGATTATGA